AGACGTTTTAAAGAAGTCTAATGAAAAATCTAGTCATAAATCTCCAAAAAATAAAAAAACTGAAAAATTAATTATTTCATTCAAAAAAAATCCATTAAAAAGTAAATTTAAAAAGAATGGAAACTCAAGTTATCAAAAAATTGAATCATTAAAAGAGATAAATTTGCATGGAGATTCTACAGCTGTAGCATCTGCTACATCAAATGATATTTTTGAAGAAAAAATTATTACTGAAGAAGTGTCAGACGCAATGGTTCCTATTATTTTACCTGAAACTGTAACCTCATCATTGGCAAATGATGCATCAAAAAAAAGAAAAAAGAAAAAAAGAAACAAAGAGAGCAATGAGAAAATTATAAGCTGCGAAGTATTTTCTGTAGAAGATACACAGATTTCTAAAGTAAAAAAAAAAAAGATATATAAGCGAAGAAATGGGGAGAAAGTTTTAGTGCGACTAATAAAGAATTATTGTAATCGTGCTGGGCAAGTTGTTAAAACAGAGTCTATACTAATTGAAAATACGCTTAACAACAAGCAAACCTCTCATCAAAACATGGGGAAACCGATTTCCAATACAAATGAGTTGCTTTGTGAGGATCCACCACTAGGTTAATGATTTTAATTGTCTTATTTGATAATAATATAAGAAAAGAATTTATATTGTTATTCAAATTTGTTAAACACTTCTAATATACTTGAGTTTTTTTTTTTAATTAAATAGATGGTTCTATTAGTGTAAAAGAGGAAGTCACTATTGATTCAGCACCATTGCCAAGTAAAAAAAAGGTTATCATCTCACAAAAAAATAAACCTGGAAAGAAGGCAACAAAAGTAAAGTCTCGTCCTGCAAACAGAGTTGTAACAAAGAATGGAAAAGTTGTTGGAAAAACTACAAAGGGAATGAAAAAGACTGGTGTACCAACACTTCCTGATGCGATTCAACAGTCTAATACTGTTAGTCAAACATACGAAACTCATACTGAACCTGTGTGTAAATTTTTTTTTATTTGTAGTTTTACATTTGCAAAAATTTGTTTCGTTTTTTATGACATTGGGACAAAAATGGGTTTTTTAATATTTGTTTTTGTTAACTTTTTTTTAATGTTTATTTGCTTGATGTTATTAAAGATGATTTGTTTTTTGTAATTGTTTTTTTTTTTAATATTTTTGTTTAACATTTATTTAAGGTATTTTTTAAAATATTTTTCAAGATATTTTAACTGTTGAAGTTGTTTTTGTTTAAATAATATGGTTTACATTATGGATTTTTAAATGTTTTTTTTCATTGCATAGAAAAATGCGTACAATTTGTTTTGTCGAAAGTACAGAAGCTATGTTAAAGAGCAATACCCAGATGCAGGTTTTTTCTTTTATGTTATTAAATATTTTCTGATTTGCAGTGGTATTTTCCACACCTAAACCCACAGTTTAGGTGTGGATAAATATTAAATTTATCAATAATCATTTTATTTTATGTTTTATATTACAAATTGGAATATTTAAAAGAATCTTCAAGTGCCGTGACAAGTTGTGTTTCTTTAACGAATAAACATTAGAAACTAAGTTTAGAGTTAATCAAAAATTATTTAAAGTAATTAAGTTAATCCAAAACAAAATATTCATTAAGATATTAACAAAAATTATTTCAGATTTTTTATGTTTGCAGTTATTAATTGTATTTTAATATTTTTTTCTGTTATGAATAATATTTAGTTTGAATAATAAATGTGTATGCTCACTGCAATGATTTACTCAACACAATTTAGTCTGTGATGGTTAATAATCAAAAGGTAGTTATAACTAAATGGTAGTTAGTAAAAAGTTAAACAAAGAATACTATTTTTCTAATTTTATTTTAAAAATTTATCTAACCTAAGCTACACACTATGTTGGGCCAACATTAGAACAATGATGATTGGGCCAATATTACTCTAACATCTACCCAACATGTTGTGGTGCTTGGATGGTGCTTTCATTTACAATTTGCAAATCAAACTTTATTTTAATTTTCATTCCAAAAATAAAATATTGTTTTTGATTTTTAGATATTTTTTTTTAACTAATCATAGTTTTTTAATTAATTTTTATATTAGTTTACTTATATTGCTTTTGTTTTTATATCAACATTTTTAAAAGAATTTTATTAAATTTCAGAATTATTTTTTTAGGAGTAGGGAATTATAGTAATACTTAATTTTTTAATATTTTTAAATAGATTTTTGAACTAGCAATTAAAATCCAGACTATAGTAGATTTTCAAACTCATATCTAGTTTCTAACCAGACGCTTCAGCCGAACTCACATCAGGTTTCTAACCGGACACTCCAGCCAAACTCATAGCTGGGTTCTAACTGCCAAACTCACATCTGGTTTCTAACTAGATATTTCAACCAAACTCACATATGGTTTCTAATCAGATACTTCAGCCAGACATCTGGTTTCTAACAGTGTTATAATATCAGAAGAAAAATTGATACTTGTATTTTTAACTTTATTTAAAAATAACAACATTTTCTTGTTAATTTCTCTGCAAATGTGATTATTTCAAGTTTTCTAAATTATTAATACAATTTTTTTAAAACTAAAAAAATGAAACAAATAAGTACAAGTCTTTTGAAAGACTTTTAAAATTTTTTAACAACTAAAGTTAAATATAGGAAATTTAGATTAACATCAATTAATAATTCATTTAGTAATTTTTAGAAATGTTTAAAAACATGATCAAATCATACATGATTAAAAAAAGCTTTGTACAACTATAGACCAATTTTTTTTTAATTTTCTAGTTTTATTCTAGGTAAGTTTTGTCAAGAATTTTTTTACATATACTCTAGGTTCCAAAATAGGCTATTGTATCTAAATTTGAATCTGAAGTTATGTAATATTCATTAAAAAATTTGAGATTCTCATAGTTCTGTAGTGTCTCTTTTTTTAATGGTGAAGGTTTAATTATTTGCATAATTCATCTTACTTTTTATATTGAATGGCCAATTTGACAATCTATTATGTCTGTATATCGATTTGACAATCTATTATGTCTGTATATTTTTAAAGGTACCATAGGATTTGTCATTTGATTCATTCATCTGAATATGAGTTATTATTTGATTCATTCATTTGAATGTCAATTGATTCATTTAAGTAGATTTTTCTAGCTTTAGTTGTTGTTGTTTTTATGGAACATCTACAACTGTTAGTTGAATTGCATTGTTTAGTTGAATTGCATAAACGCAAATGCTAAACAGTTAGTACTAATTTATCAACTTTCTTCATAACTGCTGCAGCGTCATTTGTTATTCTTTTCTAACAACAAAGCATACTTTCATTTTTTTGCTTACTCTGTGACAGATTTTTCTGCACGTAAACTTCTAGAGTTCTTTTGCATTCAGAGTCCTAAATTTCATAATGTTAACTCCAATCAAAAACTCACATTTATGTATTGCTAGTTCCTTAAGAAGGTCGTCACCAGGTAATACCAAAACTTTTTCAAATTAATTTATATTTTCATATTTCTTTAATTACTAATTGTCGAATAGTTTGAAAATTTTTTGTGGTGATGAATTATAGAAATTCATTTAAATTTAATGTTTTCAATGATTTTTGATGATCATTGGATGTTATGAAAATTCTGATTGGAAGACTATCAATTGCTATCATTTTTGCTTGAACTCTTGAAATTTACTTAGTTTTTTCAATCATTTCTGTTTCCTTAAGTTGTTTTAAGTGTTCCTCATTTTCTGCTGCCCTCATAATCTTTATTTGCCACTAAAGTAATGAAACCTATTTGTTCAGATTTTTGATCATTGTAGATTTAATTCTTCATTCTCTTAGTCATGATGTTTTTTGACAGTTTTTTAGGAAAACTGTTCCAGTTCAGAGAATTTTCATCATATGTTTGCATTGGTTATGCACACTCTCTCCACCCTATTCTAAACCACGGCTCCTCCATTTTTTTTCCTTATGCAGCAGCTATTTCTATTTGTAATCTTTTTTTTTTTTTTGATCTTTTCTACAAGATCAGCTATGTGGTGAACAAATATCTTTTTATGTAAGAAATGTAAAAAGGTTTTTGTCTGATGCTTAGGCCCATTTTTATTAGGTTACTATTTTTGTATTCTTTATACAAAAAAATTTGATTAAGGGACTTTTGGAAAACCTATAATAATGTTATTAACAAAAGCAATTCTAACATTCCATCTTATGAAATGTTAGAATTGTCATTAGAATTATATGCTTGAAAGTATTGTCTGACACTGAAGTCAATTAGTCCTAGATTACTTAATTTAATATTTTATATCATTAAACACAACTTATGATCCAGATTACAAACTTGTCACAGTTAGATAAAATCGTTTTTTAGAACTCCCTTTGTACTATTAAGTCTCTCTACACTCTTAACTGTCTTTTATGCTGAAAGTTAATTTGCTTAACTAAGAAAGTTGCATTCCCGTTGCAGTTCTTAACTATATTAGTGATCTCCCTAACAAACTTAATCTCCATCTTAATTTCTTTCATACATCTGGTCTGGTTTTATTACCTTTCCCAAGAAAATACAAAACTACTTGTAAAGGACTTTTCCTCTAATTCATGAATGGAATCTCACTTTGTCACCCTAAAGAAACAGGTTAACCTACTATTAGAGATTCTACAGCTTCAGTTGCTAAGGTTACTTATCGCATAAACCCCTTTACAGCTTGTGCTCTCCTTTATTTCTAATTAGGAAGGGTATCAAGAGAAAGATCAATTGAAAATTAACGAAATATTTTTGTGTTATATTATAGACAGGGTTTGTACTGTACCTGGAAAACCTGGAAAACCTGGAAAATCAGCCAAATTTGGATAAAGTCATGGAAAACCTGGAAAAGTCAGGGAAATTTTTTTTTTTCTAGGTAGTCAGGGAAAAGTCAGGGAATTCTGATTGAGAAACTACTCGTTTTACAAATAAGCTATTATGTTTCTGTTGGTGCTTCCCTTTTATTTTGACAATTAAAAAATACACTATAGTGTTTCACACCTTTACTACGCATATAATATTTTATTTTTAAAAATTTGACCACGGCTTTTTAACTTTTTTAAAACTTGAATATTTTTAAATGTATTTTAATAGGCAAAACGCTCTTATTACTAACAATTGTTTTAAAATATTAATCAATAAAAATGTTTTATTTAAATTGTCTATGGTTATTATTTTATTTTTACAATAATAGTGTATGTTTCTTTTTTTTATTTATTATAAAAAAAATAATTCGTTTTTTTTATTTATTATAAAAAAACTAATTTTTTATGATCAATTTCAATCGTTTAAAACTATTTCTGTAATTTATTTTATAAACAACAGCATCTTTAACTTTAAACATTTTTGTGTCTTTAAAGCGAAAAACTTCTTTTGTTATTTTAAGTTACATAAGTTACAGAAAGTTTCAAAGATTTTCAACTTTGTTGAAAACTTTTGAAAGTTTTTATTAAAAAAGTAATGGTTTCTATAAGCATTACAATGACTATTAGATTAAAATCCTTGTGAAAATGAATTTTGAAAATTAAAAAAAGGTTTTTAAAGTTAATACAATGAAATTTGTTACAGTGCCCTATGTTATAAATATAAGTCATTTTGAAATATTTTGTTTCCATTTTTAGAATTAAAATAATGAATAAAATAGAAAAAAAAGCTTATTTTAAAGAAGAATGGTTAAATAAAGACATTTACCCTCATTTTGACTCTTGGCTAATGAAAGGAAAAAATAACACCCAGGCAAGATGCAAATTATGCAATAAAATAATTGAACTTTCAAACATGGGTATTCAAGCAATAAAAAGTCACGAGAAAGGAAAAAAACATGTTTCAGTTGCAAGCAATTTCTCTTGATTTTTTAAATCATCTGGCTCTAAAAATACTAATTCACCTAATTCAGTAGAAGAGTCTAATTTAAAGACAACTGATAGTTTCTCAACAGGACAAATGAAGCAGCAATCTTTAGAACTCATCGTATCAAGTTCTAATAAAATCTGTGCAGAAATTATGTGGGCATTGCATTGTTGCTTAAATAGAATTTCTAACAATTCAAACAAAAATGTGACAAATTTGTTTCAAGCAATGTTTCCTGACAGTGAGATTGCTAAATCTTTACAAATGGGACCAAATAAAGTCGGATATAGCATCACTCATGGTCTTGGGCCTTATTTTAAAGGTTTACTTAAACAACAAATGAGCCTGTCTCCTTGGCTTGTCGTATCCTTTGATGAATCCCTCAACAAAAAAACTCAAACTTGTCAAATGGATTTACTCATCCGGTATTGGAATGAGGAAAAAATGGAGGTTGAAGTGAGGTATTGGGATTCCTCAATTATGGGACATAGTACTAGTCTTGATTTGGTAAATCATTTTAATGAAAAGATAAGTGATATTAATATCAGCAAAATTGTTCAGGTCTCTATGGATGGACCCAGTGTCAACTTGAAATTTCACAGAGACATTCAAAGCAAACGCAAAGAGCACGAATTATCTAAACTTATTGACATAGGCTGCTGTTCCCTACACATAATTCATGGTGCTTTCAAAACAGGAGTAGAATCAACTGATTGGGAACTTAAAAAGACATTTAAAAGCTGCTTTACCTTATTTCATGATTCTCCTGCCAGAAGAAGTGACTTTATCAGTATCACTGAAGGTTCTGTGTTCCTGCTTTCATTTTGCGCAACTAGATGGGTTGAAGACAAAAAGGTAGCGGATAGATTAATTAGTATTTGGCCATCTATTATAAAAATTGTTAATTATTGGGAGTCTCTGCCTAAAAGTAAACGACCATCTTGCAAATCATATAAGTTTGTTGTAAATGCTGTTAAAAAAGAACTTTCTCTTGTAAAATTCCAGTTTTTTAGCTACCTGGCGAGCATGTTTGAACCGTTTCTGAAGCTCTATCAGACAGATGCTCCAATGTTGCCTCACATGAATGGTGATCTTGTGCAGTTGATTAAGAGTATTCTTAGGATGTTTATTAAATCTGAAACTATTGAGGCTACCTCAAAACTTACCAAAATTGATCTGCAAAATAAAGAGAACCATTTGAAACCCAGTGAAATTGATATTGGGTTTGCTGCTGAATTATCACTGTCAAAGCTCAGAAAAAATGATGCAGTTATTTTGAAGGATATGAAAGAATTTAAAATTCAATGCATGCACATTTTAATTTCAGCTGCTGAAAAGTTATTTAAAAGATGTCCCCTTGATTCCGTGATTGTTAACACAAGTACTTGTTTGCTTCCAAATTTTTATGCTCAGATCACACCTGAAAAAAATAGGAATCAAATGAAAATATTGCTGCATCATCTTATTTCACTTGGAATATTAACTGCTTCTTATTCTGACAAAGTTATCAGCCAGTTCTCAAAGTTTATTTCATCAGAATTTGCTCTGAATCAGGATGTTTTCATAAGTTATGATCGAAATAATAAACGTCTTGATGATTTTTACTTCAAAAACATTGACATATAAAAGTATCCAGA